TAATTAAACCTATGAATTTTTGAACCAACCAAAACATTTTCAAAAATTACAAAAAAATACACAAGGTCAGAAATATTATTTTGAGTTTGTGATAATTTTTTCAGAATTTTTCAATCATTTTTGAGTAAGAAATAAAATTATAGAAATCAATTTATAAAACAAAATTCAAATGAATTAAAGAAAATAAGCCAACCAACCAGAGGAGGCCGCGTAATCATCTTCAACCTCTGGCTAGGGAAAAAACGCGTGCATGATCCAGTTCAACCTCTCATTTTCCAGTCAACATAACATGCTCAATTCTACACAATTTTCCATGAAATTTCGTGCAAATTCAAGCTAGCATTTCATACTTCACATTGCAATTTGAATCAAAACAAATAATGAACCATGGATCAAGAACAAATCGTGCAAAAATGTCAAAAATTCACTTGAACAGAAAATTTCAGATGCATCATTCATGCATATCTGATCAAATTAAAATCTCTGAAGCTTCAAAAACACTTAATGGACTTCAAACAACATGATTATGAACTTAAATCTCACAATGCACGGCTAGAAATCAAAATCCAAAGTTGAGAATTCAAACCTTTGAGAAAAATGGATCTACTGTCTCCTTAGCTCCAGTTGCAAATCAAGCGCCGATCTACAATCCTTATCACTAGGAGAAGAGAATGCAAGAAGAATTGACCAAAACGCGCAAGGGAGATGGAAGAATCGAAGAAAAATGCAGAGCAACAAGCTATGGAGTTTCTGACTTTGATTGATGAAATGAAGCACGAACCACGCTCTCTGAGGCTTGCTTCTCAATATATAGAGCATCAGGAGGAGGGTAGGATACGTTTTTTGCGTTGAAAGCTCTTGGAAAGAATGAAATCTTCTTTTGGCCAAAATCAAGTATGCACATGCAGCCCCCCAATCCCTCGTGCGTGGGCTTGCTTTTTACGTGCATTTCAGTCCATTTTACCTCAGGAAGAGATTAGCAACAAAATTAAGACTTAAATCCTTGTATTAAGCTAGTGTTGGTGATTAGGCAACTTCATGCCACTTTTTGCAAAATCATGAATTCCCTTTGCATTTGCCCATGTGCAGCTCAAGCTTTGGCATGATGGGCCTTGGTACGTTGCATTTTGGTCATGGGCCAAGTTTGAAGTGAAACAAAAGGCCACAAATCAAGTTATCAACAATTTGCAATTTGCATGGCATGCATGAATTCAATGAAAAGCCTCAAAATTCCAAAGTCCACAACTTGCTCATACTTTTGAGTTTTGATACAAATGAGAACAATTTGGAAAGGTATTGAAAATATCTACAATTCATTATTTTTGAGTTTTTGAAATTGAGTTCATTAAGTTTCTCAAAATTGGGCTTTAAATTCACTAATTTTGGAAAATGACCTATAATTTTGGTGACTACAAAAGACCATAACTCCTGATTCCATTTCAATTTGGACATAAGAACAAAAGGAGATGAAAGATCATTCTCTTAGATTTCCAATCATATTTCATTTGCATTTTCTTGATCAAGGGTGAATAAACTATGAATTTTTGAAATTAAGTCCTTATTTTCCAAAATTAGTAACTTTTAGGGTTTCTTCAAGAACAAGTTTCAACCCAAACCTCAATCTTTTTTGTTCCAATGACCAAAATGGACTTGAAATATGAAAAGTGCATCCTTGAATTTATGGTTGGCCAAAAATTCCCTTGGTCATCTTTGACTTTGACTGATTTTGACCAAAATGACCATTTTGCCCCTCTGAATCAATTAATCCACTTCCCTTCAAAATTGATGATCAAGACCTCAAACATATAATCTTCCAAATATATAGAGGCCATGTACAAAGTTTCACTTCAAAATTCTCAAGAAATCCTGATAAAAACCCAAACCCTATTTTTGGTCAACATCTCAAGAGACTTATGAATTATCTTTTAAACATCAAATCCTCAGGGTATCATGACCAATTCCTTGTACAAAGACTTTTCAAATACCAATGAGATGTTGTAGCTTCCAAACCAAGATTTGTACATTGAGCAATAGCCTTGATCAAACAAAACCCTAATTTGACTGGTGAATCAAAAGAGTGATTCTTCTTATAATCAAACACAAACTTCAATCCTTTAATGATACAAAGAGATGGATGAAATATCTTGAGATATGCAATAACTTTTGAGCTTGAAAGATCCATAGGTTTAGATGATAAGTTTCTACTTGAGCAACTTGTCAATGCAAACAACCTTCAAGGCTTGAGGAAGACTTGATAAACAAAGTATTTTGATCCCGTCACAATGTATGAATGCAATGCAATATGATATTTATGATGAAACATAAGCCTAAATCAAGAGGGTAAATTTTTAGGTGCAACATCGTCCAAGATTCCTTCATCATTTTGGGGTAGTAATCGTCCCAGATTCCTTCGTCATCTATCGAGGTAGTAATCGTCCCAGATTCCTTCATCATCTTTTGAGGTAGTAATCGTCCCAGATTCCTTCATCATCTTTTTGGAGTAGAAATCGTCTCAGATTCCTTCATCGTCCTGCTGAGGTAGTAGTCGTCCAAGATTCCTTCATCATATTTTTGGAGTAGTAATCGTCCAAGATTCCTTCATCATCTTTTTGGAGTAGTAATCTTCCCAGATTCCTTCATCATCTGTCGAGGTAGTAATCGTCCCAGATTCCTTCATCATCTGTCGAGGTAGTAATCCTCCCAAATTCCTTCATCATCATTTTGGAGTAGCAATCGTATCAGATTCCTTCATCATTCTGCTGAGGTAGTAGTCGTCCAAGATTCCTTCATCATCTTTTTGGAGTAACAATCGTCTCAGATTTCTTCATCATCCTGATGAGGTAGTAGTCGTTCAAGATTCCTTCATCATCCTGATGAGGTAGTAGTCGTTCAAGATTCCTTCATCATCTTTTTGGAGTAGCAATCGTCTCAGATTCCTTTATCATTTGTAATACCCCAAATTTGTCCTACCCCTTTGCCTTTATCTAGCTTACGCATCTTGCACTCTTCATTTCATGTGCATACACAACATTTGGTCATTTGACACGTCATGCATCATTAATCAATAAGCTTAGCATTGGATCCATGGTTTTTAAAATCGAGGTTCCATCTTATGAAGGTTGCTTTTAGCTGAGGTTCTCATTAATCATGGATTAAGGGTTTGCTTCCTTATGCTTGGAATTATCAGATAAATCTTGGGGTTTGGTCTTATAATTATCTTGTGTTTGTTCTCAATGCTTGGGTTTGTTCATCATGTGAGGGGTAACTTCATTGTTACTTATGATGCAGGACTTTCAACTGGATTTCTTTCAAAAGGCTCTAAACTTAGACAAGAAAATTCTATGGGTTCATGAAGTGAGATGTTTCTTTAGTGTGTTAGCACTTATCTTTGGAAGTTAGGGTTTATTTCCCTGTTCATGGGGTGATCAAGAGGCTCGTTGGGTAAAGTCTTATTCTATGAGCATGAATCAGTGCAATTAGGTTTCTTTGGGGCTATCATATGGCATATTTCAACGTTAGGGCTTCATTGGATTTTGTCATTTGTCAAAGTATGGTCGGCTTGGTTATTTGGGTTACAAGTCAGTATTTTGAACCTTATACAAGAGTTTGGGGAGAAATGGTGGAATTAGAATATCACATCAAAGGTTTAAATCTTTTAACCAAAGTCCTTAAAAAATTTGGGCTTTTTCCTTACCACCACATGGTTCTTACTCGAGCTTGCAAGTTTGAAGTGGAAAATAGAATTTCAAATACAATCCGGAGGAAAAAGAGTTTCGAATTTTATTCAAGGGAATATTATTTCATTACAAGATATTCATTACAAGATAGTATTCAAAATAATGTCCATCTACACCATTACCACAAACAGAATTACATAAAAATATTACAAGTTTTGACCAAAGTCAGCACACTACTTGTTAACCCTTCTTAAACCTATGCAAAACATATCCATCTTCACTCTCATTCTTCTAATTCCACGACCAATCTTCATGCTTATTATTTCATGGCTTAACTGTGCCTTTACAACTTCTCCACTTCCAAACCTATTCAAGTATAAAGGAAAAAGAGGTGATTAATATCAAGACTGCCTTAACTAGAGGAAAATTAAGTAACCTGCTTTCACTTTAAAATTCATAAAAATCCAATTCCAAAATAGGCCTGCACATAAAAAAGAGTTTATAACAGTTTTTCTAACTTAACCAACCCAAAAGCAGTTACAACCAAAACTTCTTAACCACCCTATAACTACCATAACCGATGCCAGCTCATCAACTTCATACCATAACAGAAAGCTAACTGAAAACCAGTCCTCATAACTAACTTTCAGAGGAACTCTAACAAACTTTCCAGATATAATAGAATTGATATTCACAACATTGATGATTCAACCTAGAAAGATTAGAAAAACTCACCTCAAGAATATTCAATCAAAGCTTTCTCTCTCTGTTCCATTTTCTTGATACAACTTCACATCTTCAATCTCCAAAGAACGCGTCATCTTCAACTTTAGCTTCACCGCTCATGTTCCCTGCATCAAACAACAACGCAACTGAATCGCATGGAGTACACAGAGATCTGAAATTGTAGAAGAAGAAGGTAAACAATTACCACTATCATCATCAACAAATCACTTTAACCTTTAACATCTTCTTCACAAACAACACCAATTCGCAAATCAGAATCAAAATTGCAAGAACAGAAGAAGAATGGAGTGGAGGATTTACGTGATTTGTAATTGGATTTCTGGTCACTACAACACCGTCAAAGGCGTATCAAACGGATTCTTGTTGATCCTTCGCGAACTATTTCTTTGGTCTCCTTCATACTGACACTTTCATCACATCTTCATCTTCACGCACCTTTAATCTTCCTCAATCTCAACCTTCATTCTCCATCATCATCCTTTCAATATTCTTCAACCGGCAAAAGCAATAACAACATCATCTTGATCTTCGTAAATTCTTAAATCATCATTACACCTCTTCAATCTTTGATCCTCTTCATTGAAAATTCATTGCAGCATCTCTATCACCTCGCATCTCAACCTCGACAATAACATCACGAATCTGTAATTAACAGCAACAACACACAAACAGAAACACATAGAAACCGAATCAAAATAGAAGCAGTGAGAATCAAGTGGACCGTTGATGTTCATGATGTAGCCGTGAGGGTGAGAGCATCACTGAGTCGAACAAGAATGAGTTTGAGTCTTTGTTCGCTAGCTTGAATTGGCGATTGGGGGAAGATTCAGGTGGTGGTCGCAACGGAACGACTTCAACAATGAAAAATGCACAGAATCGGATGAACGAAACAAGAAGGTGTTGAGCTGTGGAGACCGATCGAAGTCGTACTCAAAGAACCCTGAGAGCTGCGACTGAAAGTTGAAGACGAAAGCAAGTTTAAGCTAAAGCATATGGTACCTTGGATCGAAGAAAAGAGAGGGCGAATCCTACAGGAAATGGGCCGCCGCAGCCGAGTTTGAGAGGACGAAGGGAATTAGTAACCCTAATCTCTTCTTTAATTATTTCAATTTTTTTAATTATTATTTTGTTTAATGATGAATAATAGCACCATGGACCGGAAACTTTCTCATCCTCAGGCCCATCACCATTTTTTTTGGGTACCTCCAGATCATAAGCAAAAATGCTTATTGGGTTCATTTCTGTTGGGCTCAGAATTCACTTGCTTGTAGCATATGCTATTCCATTCACACCCCTGGCATGGCCTTCATACCTCCTGGTTTCTTTTTATTTTCATTTTGTTGTTATAATTTTGAGTAGTAATTTTGATAATTTCTTTCATGATTTTTGACTGAAGTTTCGTGTTGATAAAATTATATGAAAATTTTATTGCAATTATGTGTGATATTATTAAATAAAAGAGATGGGAGGAGAGTGCAATAAGTTATTCAAAGTAATTTAGAGTGCAATCTTCATCAAGGAAATTCGAGGAAGATTTCTGTAGAGTTTTCTTATCACTTGCATGGTTATGAAGAGGCAACGGACCTTCTCTGTTTGGTATCGTCCCGACTCTATTTTATTCATTCACTTTACCACTTTCTAGATATCATGTGGTAGGAAATAAAGAGCGTGCGCTCGAAGTCGCTGTTTAAAGACCTGTAGCAGGCATTCCGCACTTCATTTTCTATATGTGTTGTGCTTGTGTTTGTTTACTTCCTTGTCGATCGATGAGTCACTCAATTTAGCAATTGAGATCACGACTTCGCTCTCAGTGCATGCTCCCTATAGGGTTTTATCGCTTTCCTTTATTTCTTGACGATCGATGAGTCACTCAATTTAGAAATTGAGATCACGACTTCGCTCTCATTGCATGCTCCCTATAGGATATTTTTTTTAGACTTTTCTTCGACATGCTAACCTAGGCAGGATCCCTTTAGGTGTGCTTTTTTTGCTGGCTTGCTTACTTTATCCTTGTACATACCATGTTCCCTTAGGATACGCTTGCTCTGTTCGGACGCAAGTTAGACCTTAGGTTGCAAACCATGCATGCTGACATTAGGTAGACGTTCCCTTTTGTTAATCCAAACCTTAGGACCACCATTGTATGATAACATTAGGTTAGAAATAGGCTAGTCTCCCTTAGACTCTTTTCTTTCCCTTTTTGCATCCTTGCATCTAAAACAAAAACTTCTCTTCTTAGAAAATCAAAACATGCTAATCATAGTTAAACCCTTTTTCAAGGTAACAAAACACAAAACAAATTCAAACCATTTTGTGCGCTCGAGCACCTTTTCTCTAAAACCCTTTTCAGGTAAGGACATGATTAATTTACTTCTGTGCCAACGCATAAGTCTCCAAAGGTCGAGCTGCGGCAGAAGGCGGAATTAACATTATCCATAAAAAACACAAAACAAACAAAAACATATGAGCCGAACTACGGTAGCTCTGATTCCTCAAAAAGGATACGTAGGCATTGGGGTAGGGCCCAGGCGAGCATAATTTTATTTTCCCTACATTCTTTTCTCCTTTATTTTGCATGCATTCCCTTCAGTAGTACAATAAACAGTAAGCATAGATTAAACACACCCATAAGATAGATAACAAGAGTGGATACCGTAGAGTACTACGGGCGTGTGGGCTGCTAATACCTTCCCCTCGCGTAACAGACTCCCTTACCCGATCTCCCGGTCGCAAGACCGTGACTTCTCCCTTCTCAGGTTTTCTCGATATTTACCTTTCCCTACATGTGGGATAAAAGAGGTTCGATGGCGACTTTATTGTTTTGATGATTTTCAGCCGGTTGTTTCAGTTGGCGACTTCACTGGGGAAAGGTTGACCAAATGTTGGTCCATCCCGGAGTCGCTCCTAGCTCTTGCTTTCTTTCATTTCGGTGTTTATCTTTATGCTTTCAGTATTCATTCATTTTGTATATACTTGAGCATACATATGCATTGCATTTTACTATCTTCCATATACTACTGTTGTACTGGATCTGCTTCTTTTTGGGTGGGTGCTACTATTTAGGTAAAAGGCCCAATACCCAGGCCAGAGCTGTATACCATAGGAACCCTAGGAATATAGTGGAACATGAACGACTAGTTGAATTAGGTCTCACTATCACCGCCATGTCGTCCACGCTCAGATGAGGTACAAATGAGGGGCTATCATTTTCACTTAGGTGATACGGCGATAGTTTTTCAGGAGTACCCTCGATTCTGAGTTACCATTGCCTTACCCTGACCTAGTTTTCACCGTGAGCGGGGAGGGAATTCTTATTACAGGTATAGGTGGTGACTATGTTCAGATGGTTACTCATGCTCAGATGGTGACTATGATTAGACGGTGACTATTGGTTCTGATGGCTATGTTCTGGATTTCTGTTATGACTTTATGCAGATGCTATATCTTGTTGGTGACCGTATGGTTCTCAGATTTATTTTCTGAGTTCCTGGCTTGTTTACTTGGAGGTTCATTCAAGCCTTCAATCTTGGTATTCCCAGCATGTTCTGAAATGCTCAACAACATCTGATGTTCCAGAAGCCTTGACCCCGTACAATGGGAGATCCACATGGTACTCGGTTCTTATATGCAGAAGCTATGCCGGACCTTTAATCTGATGATACTCACATGATTCAGAGCAGTGCCGCAATCTTATTCAGGAATGATGGAATCTTGATCCTCTTTGATCTCATGCCTTTGCATACATGACATGGCTAACCACATGCTTAACATACATGTTCTGTTGTTTCCAAGGAATCACATTTGCAAGCCTTGTGCTAAACTCTTCCATTCCTTACTTGCGTAAAATCAAAATCAAAGCACGCAAATTCCTTGGAAATGACAGAACATGACATGGCATTCATTCATGCACCCCATGCATATTCATGCATTCATGACAGGTACTCGAAGATTGGGGATTCTTATTCAGACCCGGGGTTCTCTTCAAAGGTTCAACCTGATTTCTCACCGCACATGCTCAGAGATCAGTTATGGAATAACTCCGAGTGGTACATGCAAGCTTTGGCTCATAGTCAGAAACTTCTTCAAGCAGGAAGATAATGGATTAAATACTCAGATAAGCCAGGTCATGGAAACTCTGATGATGATGTCTATTATTTCTTTAAGACATGATATGCTTGGTGATGCATATTATACTGGGGAACCTGGCCAATCGATTGAAGATGGTATGTCATCCAGAGACCAAGTCTAAGACTGGATCAATTCAGAAACTGTCATGCTCACATCATATCAAAAGAGAATTCTCTCGCACATTTGAGCATCAAGACTACAAAAAGTCATCAGAATCAGCAAGTCCATACGGAATCAAGTCTCCTCAACAATGGCAATCAGTGGTTTCTTTACTGCATTTTCATTTGCATTCTTGCTTGTTTGTTTAAACATCGCTTGTATATAGAAACTTGTCTATTTTTGAACGGAAATCTTAATGCAATAAGTATGCTTGTCTTGAAGTGTTCCTTTCATTTTTACTCATCCATTTGTTATCACTCTTTAAATGTTTTACTTGCATATTGATGCCAAATTTCCTAGTCTTATGCTTAGGTAAAGATTCAAAGGAGGATGACGATAATCTGAAAACGCAAAATCTCGGGTTGGTATGCTTTTGAGTAGGACCCTGCTGACGATGTACATGCCTTGTTTCAATCCCCAAACACCAGAGATATAAGGGAGATAGACCCTCGTCAACCCCTCTGAGCCTTCGAAGTAGGAGTTTCCTTTATGTTCAGAAAAAACCCTCATTTTAACCTTGGGGAGGGTAGTGTTCAGCTAATCTGATCAAGCATTCAGAACTCATCAAGAGTGTGCATCCAAGGATACAACAATGGTTATCCATCAAAAGGTCGAGGGAAGTCAAAACCACAATGGTTAACCTTTGTCTATCAGCAACGTGCATCAAATAACGATACCCCAATGAGTATCCCTCGCACGTCAAAAGGTCAACAAATGACGATACAATAATGGCTATCCATCATCTACTAGAGACTCAGGCAGTCGCGATCACTTCCGACAAATAAAAAACAACGCAAAAATCAACGACTTGTTCAAAATGAAAAATACAAATAAGAAAGAAACAAAAATCCTCGCTAAGTCGAAACTTGAAAACAAGTTGCTTAGGCAAAAATTGAGGCATCCCGCTGGACTTCCAAATCGAAATTCAAAAGAATTTGTCCAGTCAAAAATTAGGGAAAACAAGAAGGAAATTGAATAAAGCCTAAAAGGCGAGAAAAGGGTTACCAATGAAAATCCTCATCAAAGAACAAAGTCGTGTGATCAAACACCAAAAGCAAAAGGTGAAGTGACTGTCGTGTCCAAGAAACCACTGTGGTTCCTCAATCATCGCAAACTCTTCTAGAGAGATGAATGCTTGTATCGGGTCAACTGAACGTAGGAATGGAGAACATCATGGAGAATGGGTGGGCACCAAATAATTTTGAGCCTTAAATCCTTTTTTATAAAATCGTGAACCAGGCCACGTTACAACCCATAAAAGTCCTAACTGAAGCATGGGTCAATTTGAAAGCGTGCTACAACGAGATAACGTTTAACTGACTCCTAAGAGGTATGTTTGAATATCTATGTTGGCATCATATGCTTGCATTATCTTTCATAAAAAAGAATTTGCAAATGTCTCTCTCTAGCTAGTGACTCGTCCACGACAGAGTCGTGACGTCATTTCATTCAAAGTTTTTTCAAACTTCAAGACTTGCATATGTGTTGCATTAGAATTATCATTCCCATAATAAACATTATTCTGCATACAAAACAACTGATTAACATCAAGTAAGTTTACACAATGAACAATCGGTAAAGAGCTCAATCTTGTCAGAGAAGAGAGGCTTGAATACCCTGTTGAAGCAAGAGTCAGCTGCCACAAGAGAAATGACTTATCCAGCAGCATGTTAACCGGTGATTCTGTCAAGAGAAATCCTCTTGGTACTTCACAGTCTGAGTACAATTCAGGGATGAAGTTAGCATAGCCTGCCAATCTGGGGCAATCAAGTCAAGAGTCGATCTCTCCAAGTTTAGCCAAATCTGGGGCATTCCCTCAAAGCTGTCAATCAGAGGCTATCACGTCGATAAATCTCTTCAAGCTCGATCAATCAGAGGCTATCACGTTGATAAATCTCTTCAAGCTCGATCAATCAGAGGCTATCACGTCGAGAGATCTATTCAGAATTCAT